TTCCTTATGGCAGTGCTGGAATTGGGTAAAGGGGGCACCCAAAATCTATTTCTGCAATCTAATTCTTCAACAGCTGCAAAACTATATTAATTTTGTACAGTTTTCTGCTGGCTGGGACTCTCCAACATTTAAATAACTACAAGGCTCAGCAGCCTTGACTGGGATTCCGGGGATAAAGTATACACCGGCTATGGGGCTGAAATGTACCTCTGCACACAGTGCGTCTCCTACAATGAAGGGTCTGTTTTGTAAAGACTAAACCAGCTATTTGATATGCTTGCTTGACTGTGACCTGCAAAAGGAAACTGCTTTATCACATGATTGCAAGGCCCAGCAACCGGGGTCCTCTCAACATGTGCCATTGTATAGGTGTCTTCCTAATGCTATAGTGCTCTGTTCCTATGTTGACTTTAGCGGTAAGAAAAAAAAAGTAACCTTCTGGCAAAAAAATGTACATCAAATATGTAGTAGTAGTCCTTTACTGAATTGAACAGCAACTGCAGGCTAGGTTGGGATGAACCCTTCAAGGTTCGAACCTATGACATTCAGGTTTGTGAAGGACAGGCCAATTCATTTTTCTAAAAGCCTTTTTAAATTTGACTTCTTTGAACTTTATTTAATGGCTCTCCTTTTCTTCCCCCTTCTTCTCTAGCGGGTTGACCCATGAACCGCACAAGAAGGAAGTGGAGCAGGTGTACCTCCGTTGTTCGGAAGGATCGGTCGAATGGCTGTACCCGACGGGAGCCCTCATCGTCAACCTCTTCCCCAATACCTTGTCGTCCGTTTCTGAGCACTTGACTGTTTGCATAAAACCTTTCAAAGACTCCAAAGGATCTAATATTTATTTGGAAAAAACTGGAGAACTCAAGATGTTGGTTCGGGACGAGGAAAACCTTCCTCACAAGGTCTATTGCTTTTCCCAGGAACAAGGACTGTTGTTCGTCGAGGCCACCCCACAGTTGGACATTAGCCGAAAAATCACCGGCTTCCAGTATGAGCTAATTAGCCAGAGGACGCTCTCAGACTTGCACGCTATTTCCGGTAAGGGAATACCTGAAGGAACCCCTTAACCAATTCTTTGGTTTAATCCTCTTCGTCCTCAGTGCCTCAACAGATAGAGGATGATTTTTCTTTCACCCTTATTCAACCTTGTCTTGCAATATGCTGTTTGTGCGCTAGGTGGCGCTGTGGAAGCTAACAAAGATGATCCCTCTGAGTTATTTTAATCCAGTATGTCTTTTAACGAATTCCTGTGCTTCTTAGAGCGAAGTATCCAAGCATCTGAAATATCCATTAGCAATGTCATATTAGGTTGTTTTTTTTTCCCACCTCCTTTTCTTGAAAAGTTGATTTTTATGAAATAGCTCCTCTTTAAGATTGTTCAGTAAGCTGGGGCATACTGGAGGTTGTAGTTCTTGTGCAGTTGGCAGCCTACCATTGCTTGATATAGTAATTGCCCATCTAAATTTTAACCTTTGTCGGTCCCTGTACTAAAGGGACATGGTAATGTTTGTATAAGCTGGGCGTCCCTTTTTGAATGAACTTTTGGTTGGATTAAAAATACCATTGAACACTTATGATGAAAAAAAAACAAACCTGTTGATCCTGGCAGAAATCATGTGAGCTGATGGCATCCTGTGCTGAACTGCATTGTTTCCATTTCTCACTGTGGGCTACAGAACACCTCATCCTATGTTATGTAGAGGAGCTGGTGTTTTATAGTCCTAACATACTTTCCACCCTTTGGTGATAACACTGCTCCTCCATAACTACAGTACGTTGAGTGAGCATTGTCACCCAAGGACAGGAAATGTATTACTGGCAGGATCACAAGGTGAATATAAAGCCTGAAAAAAACCCCTAATGTAGCCCCCCACATCTAAGGACTGGTAAGCTGCAATGTTGTGGCTTGAGTGTATGTATGTATGTATTTGGATTTAGCGCATTTTAATTCCTGTTTGGTTGTCTCCATGTAATTGTAGCCAAGTTTTTTTTTTTTTTTCTTTAAGTAATTATTAGTAACTACTCTTCATAAAACTCATTCCAGCATTACTAAGGGTGACCCATCTAATGACATCACTTACTAAGCCATCAGCGCAGTGCTGTGATTGGCTGCACTGGTGACTAGCTGTCAAAGTGTTTTGCTTATCCGCATTTAATTACCTGTGATGCTGTTTATAACACCACATACACCCAGTTTTTAAATACTTTAATGGCAGTCCTTCTGGCTTACGCTGTGCGTAGCCAGCTCACAACATTTTGATTATAGTTGTTGATCCCGCAGAGCCTCCCCGGAGTGCCTGACTCAACCAAGTGCTAGTAATTTATAGGATCAGAATAAATGAGAGGGGTGTGTTATTTTGACTGGCACACCCACGAAGCATTTTGAGGAGAGTCACTGGCAATGTGCTGTAATGATTACTCTTGTTTTTCATTGAATTTAGCCATATATGTCTTGCGCGTGTTAGGTTCTTAAAAGGGTTCTCCATTTTTAGCTAAAAGCCCTCCAAACTTCTGTAATAACAAGGGTGGTGTTCCAACCTTCTGCCCCGTTCTTGAAAGTAAGGCTGACCTGGCTTTGTCAATGCAAGTGAGAGCATCTCATGAGCAAGCCAGTTTTGATGGGGGACCCTCCGAAGAAGCCCCATGTGAGCAGACCAAATGGTTAGTCCAAAAGAAACAGGATCTAAAAGAGGAGGTGTGTGTTTTAGTCCAGTAGACAAGATGTCAAAAAAACAAAAGCGTAGTATTGCAGTGTGCAATGATACCTTTTCTTATTGGACTAACAAAATATATAAAAGACAAGCTTTTCGAGAGTGAACCTCTCTTCAGGTCAGAAGCAACACACACACACACACACACACACACACACACACACGTGTGTGTGTGTGTGTATTCTAGATGGGTGAACACATTTTTGCCTTAAACTACTACGGTAGTATTTATACCTCAAGGACAAAGCTAGAACAAACCTTTTATTTACTCCGTCCAACAGTTTTGAAATCGGAAGTGGTTTAAAAAATAACCTACCAAGAGTGTTCCTTTACTTGACCTCTCAGCGAAGGACATTTTTCCCCCTTAGCTATACTTATCCTTGGGCGGATTTCTTATTCTTAGCGCCATACTAGTTGACTGATTAACCCGATTTAATTAAAACGGTGGCACCATCTCTTACATAAGGAAGAGCTCCTGCTTTAAATTTTATGGCCCAGTGGTCTTGACACAAGTATTGTATCCCTTTCCCCCCCTCTACAACCAACTGGTTGTGACTGGATAAACACTTGTGTCTTTCTATTATGTTGCCCGTAAAGGGAAACTTTTTAATTGTTGTGCTTACATGTAGCTATGATGATGTAGTGGCCCATTTGGTGGGCTAAAATAATGGTCAGCATAGCAGAGTAGTAATCACTAATGGCCAAGAAACTCAATGAGGCACAAACAGATGTATGGACAATGCAGTTTACCCATTCTTTAGGAACCAAGAGTGGCTCCCTCCAGAAGGGTCTGGTCACTTGACTATTGAAAGAAACATGGGATTTAAAGCTGCCCTCAAGACTTTAAAGTTGGACTTTAAGCAAGCTGTGAAGGCCACCAATCTGGCCATACGAACAAACTGACAGTAGAGACAGGATCACTAAACTGACTGCACAGAAGTTCATCTTTAGATCGGCAATACAGTTCTCGTATATGGTTTACAACCATATGTTGCCTGCCTGAAGTTGAGCCTTAAAACCCCAGCAACTGGCCATAAGGCTATATACTGGAGAACATTCATTTATAAAGGCAAATGGCATGCAAAGCAATCATATTTGCTAAATATTTTTGCACAATTACCAAATCATTCCCTGCTATTAATAGCATTGGTGTCAGTAGGTTAATGAATAAGTGCTGGTAATAGTATGACGAGCATCAGGTATTGAGTGATATGATATACTGAGATAAATAGCACCACAACCAGCAGCTATAGATTGTTTACAGCTTAACATGGACTTTTTTAGATTTTTATTTTTTTTATATAGGTTTCAGATGCATATGTAGCTTTTTAAATGCCTTTAATGCACCCCTTGGTCAACTACAAGCAAAAATCTGGCAGCCAAGCAGATGAAAGTGTAGAGCCTTGTGTAGCAGTTCATTTCTAACCACAACCTTTTTATCTTAATGCCATCTAGTGATCTCTTCCCTTTTTGTTCCAGCTTTCTTCTTCTTATATAATCTAGAAGGAGCCGGTTTCCTCAACCCATGTGATAAACATCTACTGAACTTCCCTCCAGATTAGGACAAGTAGTTAATTGTTCCTGTCAAACGTACACAAAAAGACTATAATGTTCTGTGCTGGACCAATATACAATTTATGTAATCCCTAAACACTAGTGACGTTGCTGGGTCTTGTGGCTCAAGGACTGGGCACTTCCTCGATGGAATTTGGGTGGACATGCACACCTTTTATGTCTCTTCCATAGCTGTAGTTCCTGGTGAATGGATAGGAATTTTTTATTTTTTTTTGCTCCTTAGGGATTTGAAGCTTAACTTTAGGCAAATGGCTAAATATTGATGAAATAAATATACAAGTAGTTTTTCTGCTGAAGGATTTGTATTCCTGGCCATCCAGTCCTGAGAATTTTGTGCAGCACAGCTTTGCCTGGCAGTTTGTAGAAAACTATTGATTTCTATGTACCCTGTTCACTCCATACATGAGCAGGAGAACGCAGCTCAATAGACATGGTGTGAACAAAAGTAGCCATGTTGGCCTCAGCCACCCCAATAGCTCCTTCAAATTAGAAGGGCTGCCTTCTTTTGCACCTCCCTTTTTTTTTTTTTCTTTTTACTCCATATTGGTAGGGTTCCTTCTCATGAATACACTGCAGGTAGCATAATAGTTAGATTTTGACCTTCTGATATATCAGTACTTCTGAATGAATTGATAGACTGCTTCCTGTCAAATTTTGATTTAGGTCACAGAAGTAGGGATGCAATTTTGTTCTTGGGTTAGCCACAAGCTTCTGATAAACTGACATATATGGACATGGACCCTCTACTGTGCCTTAGAACGGGGTGCAATATATACAAGTCCAATGTAAAGGGATCTAAAAAAAAATTTAAATGGTGCTGCTATTTTCAGACTTTTGGGCTGCATACCAGTTTATGGGCACTGAAGCAGAACCTTATGAATTTTACTGCCCCGAAACTAACATAAGGACCAAAAGCCAGAGAATCTTGAGTTTGTCTGAGTCTTCCAGCAAAGGTATATTGCTTTGTGATACATTCTCTTTAAATAGGAAATGATCAATTAACTCTTAAAAAGTCTCTGTTTTACTAGAGGCTAGTGGGGAGTTCTGCTGTTTTAGAGAATGCCTGCAATTAAAAGGGTGAATTTGATGAATGAAAGGACTTTGTGGATAGGTGCTAATCCCCGATTGTCAACTTCTAGCAGTAATTAACAATTTTGAACAATGGAGAGCTCCTTTGGTTTTCTGACAAGTAATAATGCCACAGAGGGGATTTAAAGGCCACTGGTACCCCCTCTCTTAATTGTCCAACCTTTTACAGCAAAGCCAAAAATAATAATTGTTGGTATAAAATGGTTATTTCCCAGCCAAAGAGCATCTTTGGATAGTAAGGGCCATGCTTTGTGTAGGGTATGTTGTCACCACAGGGTAAACTGCTGTATTTGAAAAACAAAAAAAACAATTTTGCTACTGTTTAATGAATTGATACGCCTTTCCATGTAGCTGGTGTCAAAAATAAACAGTTTACTTACATTAGAAAACCAGTAGAAATGTTTGAAGTGGAATGTCAACTTATCCTGTTGGCCAATTTAAGATGAAAAGTTCCTTTTATAGCTGTAGAGAGGGATCAGAATTTGTTTTTTTGGTAGAGCGGTCACGAATTGCACCCTTGCTCTTTCACGTCTTTTGGGTTTTCAAAAGCCGTAAGCTGTCAGGTGCTTGTTGGGGCAGCTGGGGTTAAGCCTGCAGACCCCTTTTGGTGTTCAAGAAGTCTGTCAAGATGTTGCAGTGTCTTTCTTGTTCTTTTACCCCTTTAATCTGGCTCTTGTGCTGTGTAATTTGACTTGTCTGGTTCTGGGGCTGTGATTTCTCTTCTGGGAGGTTGAGCTGAACACATTATCTCCAGTCACATCAAGGAAAATCAGTCCCGTGTATACAGCTTAGCAGATTGAAGGCCCAAACTTTCCTACTGTGGGTATTTATTGGAGATAATTTTACATGTTATTGGGCCATGACGTTTGGATTGCTAAATCATTGTGTGTCATAAACAGTTACTATGCCTTTTTGGTTTGTTTTCACTTTTTTTTTTTTTTGCTGCTCATCCTTTCCATCCTCCCTCAGCCACTTCTATGTTTAGTATTGGCTAAGACTCAGCCCTACACCACGGTTTCTCCTTCTTCTTCTTTTTTTTTTTTTTAATTCTATTTTATTTTTTGTTCACAAGCACCAGTTCCGTCTGCTCATGTTGTCCAACAAGTGTGGTCTATTGTTTGCATCAATATCTTGTGTTGGTCGGCAATATCGGGATCGGAGAGCATGCCGCTAACAGCAGCTGGAGCTTGGAGGAATGGTGTAATTACATCTCTTGGTCCTAGCAGCCAGCACAGAGGCCATCCAGGGCCTTAGTGAAGGAGCTGCCTCAGGTTACCTAAGGATACTGCCAGAATCTTGGGGTATTTTTTTGTAGTTCCCTGTAGGTTGCGGCAGCTGACTCACACAATGCCAGCATTCTCCTACAAATAGCTGAATAACAGTACCCTGAACTTTAGGCGGACGTGATAAAACATTGCCTTTTTTCAGTTTGATGAATACGAGCTTGTTTGGATATCCGTAAGGAGAAACTTAGGCCTCTTCCAGGGAAAATTGGCATGCGGACGTTCGGATGTCGATCTTTCTGCCTCCAAGATTCTGGAACCTCTTTCTACCTTTTGGTCTGAAAGTGGGGTATAGCTGTCTTTAGAAATATACAGACTAAGGGATTCTTTAACAACCTGCTGCAATGGTTCGGTCTTGGTGACCACCTTCATGACTAGAGAAAACAAGATTTCTCAGTGGTCACTGGGGCAAGAATTTTATAATTATAATGAGGTTTTCTTCATGTTTCAATAAAATATTACAATTTTAGGATTGTTGTAGACTGATGGGTCCTCATAGGCAATTTCAGCGATTTACCATTTTTAGCTAGCTTAAGGGATATTCCAAATGAGGACACCTGCTCCAATGACAACTGTCCAGCAGTGGTATTTCCCCCATTTTTGAGGTGATTTCCTTTGTTTCCTGCTGCCTCCAGTAGATGTAATTTTAACCTGATAGAGATTCTAACCCTGTGGAGATTCACTTTTAATGTAAAGGTTCAGGAACCAATCAGCCCAGTCTAGGAGTTAGCAGACAATTTTAAAGAGCCAGAGAGTAGGACTTTCCATTAACAGAAAAGACTTGAAGTTAAGCAGCAGATGTACAATTTTTTTGTTTTCATTGAGCTTTGTGGCAAGGTCACCATGTCCTAATATACTTCCTTCCCTAGTCTTCACAAACTTTGCTTTGCAATGGCCCACTTTACCTTACAGACAACTAGTACACTCGTAAGCTTAGTTTTGAAACCTGTATTCTAGCTTGTTGACCGTTTAGAAGGGCAAGTGGTTGTTGCGCCGTCGGGCTCTTACAGTTGTAGTTGGATTGACAAGACCTATTTATTTCATCCGACTTGTGGCGACGTGCTAAAATGTCCTCGGGGCTCAGTCACTTGTAGTTTTAATTGAGCAATGGAGTTGGTTTGCAAGTCATGACCTGCCATTTTGGGGACCTGCTTCTGACTTGAGGGGGAGAGATTAAATTCCTTGTATGTTGTGCTTGAAAGACATGATTGCCTCACCTCCCTCTGCGCCGGTAGACAGCATTTTCCTCTGTAATCCAAACAAGTGTCACACATGCACAAAACCTGCAGCAGAGCTGTCAAAAGGTATTTGTGGTTTATACTTCCAGCTCACCGAGCTAGTCCTGTGCGGCTCCATTCCTGTGTAATCCAGTCAGGCAGCGTATTATTAAGTGCTTCTATCATCAGGTGATTGAAATAGTTTGCATGATTTCAAAGTTTAATCCTGGTGTTCTTACAAAGGCTTTTTTTTTCTCCCTTTTGTTTATCTCTAATCAGTGCTGATTTATTAATCCTGGTTGGGAAATCAGTGTTCTGCTTAGAGACTTGCAAAACAGACTGCAAGTGCAGGGGACAAGTGCCTAGGCTGGCAGAGTTAAGGGGAGCACCACCAAACCCCATAATTTCCAAGTTGTGATAACTTTTTTTTTTTTTCTTTTGTTTCCATCTCTGGATACTTCTCGGGTGCTATAGTTCTGGAAACCTAAAACCATTCCTGTTTTTTTTTGGTGCTTGAAAAGCAGCTCTATATAAAAATCTGATCGCATGCTGCCTCCAGTAGCGCAATCTCTAGATTTGCTAAAGAAATCAGTCACACATGAAACAAGAGGTGTGTGTGTACAGATATATAACATTGTACACAAGAGCATTACTGTGTGCCTGGGGGGGGGGGGGGGCGTTTTGTAAAATCAAGCAGGGGGGCTGCTTGTGTAAATCAAGTCTTCAAGGGGTATATATCATTTTGTGCAGACCATGCAGCTATAAAGGGGACTCTTAGGACTTAGCGGGCTAAATATACGACATGTGGGATAGATTTGGTGCCAGGACCCCTTCCTACTGTCGCGTAGACCTGGACACGGTTCACTTCTGTTAATTGATACATGGTGAATAATTGTTTTTACATGGCTTGTAGTTGACTTGAGGGTCCAGAAATTGGTCTGGCATGGTAGCCTTTTATTGTCGGCCGCTGCAAATAATGTCAAGAGGCTCTTGGGTTCTGATTTTAGGGTACCAAGAGGTTGTGGTTTGTTTTTGTCCCATATGTCAGGCAGACAATTGGACCCGTCCTACTGACACATTGCCTTTAAGGAAAGTAGACCTTCTTCCTGATGCCCAAACTGGCTTTTAATTTCCAGCTGGTATTGTGCACATTTTATCGCTGCCTGCCAGAGTGGTCCCGAGACATGAAATTTCCTCTTGGCGCTGCTCAGCTTGGTAATGAAGGTGTTCACTACCTGATCCCAGGTGCATATTAAGGACCCTTAGAGAGTTCAAGATAAGGTCCTCTATCCTATCCATTCTACATACATCATTGGTTGCACTACAAATACCAGCATCCCTTTCAAGACACTGACATTCTCTGTGACAAATTAATAGAAAATCAATTTTGGCTGATTTATTTTTTTTGCGGTAAACTATGTTATCTCTATTCTGCAAGAGCAAAACAAGAGTAACTTGTGTTTTTGTAGGAAAACAATGCAGAGTTTGTGTTGCTGCGTAGTGTGGGTGTGCACTTCAATCCAGATTTACTGCATGTGCACGATTTGTATTGAAGCTCTTCCACCAACTCTCCCCAAATTCCAGTCTCAGTAGTTTAACCAGCGTGCATCAAATCTGTTTCTGCTGCAGCAGCAAATGCAATCAAAGGGCCTATTCTTTCACGTCCACTAACCTTTTCTTTTTTTTTCTCTCTCTCCAGATCCCTGTCGACCCTGCAGTGACACGGAGATCCTGCTAGCAGTGTGCATTAGTGATTTTGGTGAGTGACGTGCTTATATGGCTGTGCTTTTTTTTTTCTTCTGGTTATTCAACATCCAGAGTATCGAGGTGAACTGTTACTGAACCTCCTCAAAAAAATGTCAGGGACAACTGCTGTAGATTTTTGGTGTATGGATGATTTACTCAAGTACCTTTTTTTTTTTTTTTTTTTTTTTTTTTTTTTTGCAGTCCATTGCCTGTGCTACCAAAGAAAACAAAAGATACAGTATATCTGCACTGTTGGGGGTTGTGTGAGCTATATGCGGAGAGCGCCGCAGGCGGGACGGATCCTGACCAATACTGTCTAGATCCACCCAGCTGGTTGACAACGGGCTCTGCCTATCTATCTGCAGGTAGATGATCGGGTACAGAGTGAGCGACGATATGTTTTCGCTCACTTCCCGATTCTATAGAGTAGACCTGACAGTTTCAATGTCACACGTCGGCTCTAACTATGAGGATGAGTGTAAATCACTCACCTCATAGATCTCCTTTTTAAGTTGCCTTGTTTGGAGAATTACCTCAAATGACTCTGGACATTTTTTTTAAATACCATTTTGTCTTTATCCAATGTCGCCTTTTTTTTCCTTTATTACATCTCCATCCTCCTTACCTCCCTGCAGCCTCTTTTAAGCCCTTTCCTGTCTACATGCAATCTAGCAACGGCTGCATGGAATTTTTTGGGACCAAAAAACAGTATATCATGCCTATGCAATTTGCATCGGTACAGCCACTTGTGGCCTCCATTGGGAGAGCATGTGACAGGGTGGCAATGCAGTTGCACAATTGGGAGTGTCAGCCTATAATAGGAAGTGCCTGAAGGAGCTTGATGGCAAGATCACCACAGATTAATGAAAGTGGCTGACCGTAAAAAGATTGAAGTGATTAATTTACATTTATGTTACAATTATGTGAAAGGAAGCTGTAGGTTTATTAATGCTGAAGTGACTTTCTGTGTTTAAGCTTCTATGATATTTTAGTGATTGGGTTCACATCTACCAAAAAGAATAGCTTTTTGTTTTTTAAAAAGTTTTCTAGATTGCAAAAAATATCAACAGTTTTTTAATGCTCTTTTTCTCCTTTTCAGTTGTCAAAGGTTCTATCAAAGAAGTAACCAGTGACCTTGAACAGCAGGAATCCATCATTTCCGTTTCCATCAACAGACTTTACCGACAGAAAAGCAAAATCTTCCAACCCAGCCAACAACAATTGGGTTGGGAAGGGCAGATAAGGACGCCTCTGGAATGTGGCGTCCAAGCAGGACTGGGGGAGTTCTTGTTCACTGGACGTATGCACTTTGGGGAGCCCCGATTGGGCTGTGCGCCACGGGATAGGGACTTCCGGAGGATATATCTTGAAGCAAAAAGTAACGGATTAAACCCATGTGAAATTAACACGGACTGAAAGACCAAGCGTCTTGCCGTGATTTTCTAGACTTGTTCTTTGTCTCAGATGTTGGGACGGACTTTTTTGAGAATAGCGAATACTTGGAAGGATACTAAGACTTTTTTTTTTTTCCTTTTTATAAGTGGTCGCAGGTCTACCTATCCGCCGACGTAAGCTGTTACACTAAAGTGTTGGAGGTACGAAATGGGCCCGGCCCAAACTCGCCACTGTACAAGACTGCCATTTTAAGTCTTGCGTCGCAAACCCTAAGTTATTATTTTTCTTAAAGATTATTTCAAGTCTTAAACCGAAGAAACTGCCTCTTCTTTTTTTTTTTTTTTGGTATTGCTAATGATCCATGACCCGTAAAACATCCTCACAGTTGTAGCAATTCATTGCGGCGTATTTTGTATAAAATGGTTCAGATGTCATGGAGCAAGGACGATATGTTGTAATTTTTTGTTTTTAACATGCTTTGTAAAAAGCTTGATGTAAATTTTTTCTGAGAATGTTTCTTATGAAAGAAATGTTTGTGAATAATTGTTGTGTTTTTTGTTTTAAAAAGTGCAATTGCCATCTGCCATTTTGCGCAGGTCAGGTGATTGTGGTTTTTTTTTTTCTCATTCCAGTGAAATAAAAAGACCTGGAATTTATGTGTTTTGTGTATTTTAATGGCAATGACCTGTGTTTGTTAAAGAGCAACTTTTTTATTTTCAAAATAACAACAAAGGCACCTTTTTTAGAAATGTTTAGTAATGGCAATCTGCGAACTTATACTTATGGATAATTGCCGGATTTTTATTAGGGATCCAAAGATACCGATGCTGGTATCGGCGCCGATACCAAGTACCTGTACAGCAGAGCCAATCGGCTGTTCTCATGTGCTAAGAAGCATGCTTGCTAGGAGTATATCTGTAAAAAAAAAGTCAAGGCAACTGGAGTTGCTGTATTTTTTCTTGAAGATGTTTCACTGGTCATCCAACCAGCTTTTTAAATTCAGAATGACAAAAAATTATCTAGGAACAAATATGGTGAATGTGGCTCCAATCCACATAATCTGTTAGTCACAACCAGGTGTTGATTGCATTTGCATAATTGGAGCTAGGAGGTGTTAACCTGCCCAGAGAGAGGTGTTAAAACAGCATACAATAGATGTCCCCCCCCCTCTTCTATTCAAGCTTGGCTTCTCCATTTTTTACATACACTGATTTTTTCACACCTCTTTTAAACCAGTCCTCCCTGTCTAGGATGCGTACTTGACTGTCTTCAAAGTAGTGACCTTTTTTCCTTTTTAGATGTAGGTACACTGCTAAATCCTGACAAGAATCCATCTATTGTCTGCCACATACATTGCTGTTTTAACACTCCTCCTTGGGCAAGTTAATAACGCCTCCTAGGTCCTATTATGCAAATGCAATCAACACCTGGTTGCGACTAACATTATGTGGTTTAGAGCACCATTCACCATATTCCCGGAGAATTTTTTTGTACAAGTCATTCTGAATTGTGAAAGCTGGTTGGATGACCAGTGAAACGTGTTCAAGACAAAAATACAGCAAGTCCAGTTGCCTTGACTTATATTTTAAAGATATACCATGACCTGGATGAATGAAAACCTTCACAGATAGTAGGAGTAGGAGAGAGCACAGTGACCGAGATGAGCTAATCAGTTTGTTTTCAATGTCAAATCATGGGCTGGGGCATGGAGGGTTATTTAACTGTAGCAGAGAGAAAGCAGGCCACCTGCCAGACAGGGCTGTGTGCATCTCAGGACTGGGTGTACAGAAATACAAGGAAATGTTAAACTAAGTTACTCCCCTATATGCATTTCATCTCTGTATTTAGCTATTTGCCTAGAGAAAGAAGTGATCTCCACAGCGGTGTAGACCTCTTGTATGTGTGACGTATTTGTGCAGTGTGGCGAAAAGCATCCTCTGGTATACGCCTGCCCATCAAATATTTATTTTTGCTTTTTATTGCCCTACTTGCAGTGGGTATTCTTATGGATTTCTATCGGCATACAGCCCCCCTCCCCCGGGCTTCCCCGTAAAATGTGTTACGTTGTGTGTACTACCTTTTGCCTTATATACAATTACACCCATTTAGGTTGATTCAAATCACATTTATTTGGATTGCAGTTTGACATTTCCAGTAAAATCTTGACAGCTGGTAAAAAAATCTAATTACATATTCATAGATTGATCAGTATCTCCTGATTCCGGAGGTTGCATAACCATTTATACTGTAATCAAGTCACATAGACATCACATGCTATGGGTTTCTCTATTGGACATGGCAAATTGTAAATCACATGGGACCTGTAGTGTGATCTGAATCCTTTTCTTCTAATAAAATGAACCTATCGCTGTTTACAGTGTTCCAAATATCTGCTAGGCCTTCCCAAAAGGTCATATACGCATAGGTGGTCCTTTAGGAGTTCACATTGCTGCATGCATGGAGGAATAATGTCTGCAGTGTTTCAGGGTGTAACCCTGTCAGGTTTGTAGGGGAAAAGCCACAAATTATGAATGGTCGCCAGTACAAAAGTTACAATTCCTATGGTATGTTGGCGCACTCATGCGGCCGTAGTCTGACCCCCAATATTTTTATAATTGGTGCGGCCACAGAATGCTTTGTGTCACAGGTAGCCATACCCATGGCATCTGAAACTAATGATCCCTCCATGGGTGGCATGGCCTGCCAGTCCCCATGGAAAGTACTGCTGCTCATGGAATTTAGTGGAACGGCATGGCTTGCATAACTTAACCCTTCTCCAGCAAAAGAACGCAGGCACTAGTACAATGGGGAAAATTGTTCTTGTACAAACCAAGCGAATTTCATATCTTTGGAGAGGGAAGGAAGATTTCCTCTCACTTTTGTGTCTACAGGACAGAAATGTAAAGGAAAATCTCGTTCGGCCACTGGGTGTTCTGACTTGTGGCTTAAATAGGGCTGGGGACTCTCTGCCTGCCCCCTTATGACAGTGCTGGGTTCCTAACCAGCCAAGTGTGGTCAGGTCAGGAAAGTGAGTCAAATGCTCCCCCATATATAAAGGTATGAAGTATTTGCCCAATCATCTTCCAGCACAGCAAGCCTACTTCTCAGGTTGCTGTCCTGGAAGATTCACAGAAATACCATTACTGGTGAGTCTAATAGGGAATCTTTCTTTGCTCTGAGCGGGTATGAAGGGAAGGTAAGTATTTAATGCTGTGGGTGCCACCATGAAAGTGAACATGTATTAATAAAGTTATTCACCTGCACACCATACAGTGTTGTGACCTAATAGGAGGATGGTGCTTGCAGTATCAGCACGGGTGGTGTTGTATAGAAATCCAGCAAAGGTCAAGTCACCAGCACACACACTATATAATCTATCCCATTTCTAGTGTATTGAATCAATTTCATGCAGCCAATGTTTCAGGTCCCTTTCCTGGGGCATAATGGTGATTCTCTGAGGAAGGGACCCTGAGCGGCCACGAAATGTTGGCTGTATGACAATCTGTGACAACGATTCAATACATTCATAATGGGATTGAAGATGTACTCTGTGTGCTAGTGACTACTTGATCCTCGAGGAAAGTAAACATGTTACTTTGCCCTGCATGAGCAAAGCACAGCTACCATTATGGTTAAATTTTAAGGAGTTGTATTTATTTTCGGGGGTTAAGGGACCTTGGCGTACGTATTAACTCAATCTTCAGGGTCTGGCCATGTAAGAAAATTCTCTTTGGTCCTTAATCTCCTACATTGACCAATACAAGTGTTGGATTCCTGATCTTGAAATACAATGTGCTGCGTTAATCTGTAGTGAGAGGTTGCATAGGAGTCGAGCTCGATTTCCAGAACTCAAAAGTGAGCCATGGCTATCAAGCTGCTAGATACTTCTTCACTATAGCCGCCAGCGGTCCAAGCTGGAGCACATATGATAGTAACCAGTTGGAAAAACATACAAAAGCTAAATGATAAAAATGTTCAGAAATTAATGACTTCATCAGGCACACAGTGTCAAAGTGTTTTATGTTTGAGTTTAAAAAAAAAAAATTAGAAACCTAACGGCACAATTTTTACTTGCACCAGTCGGCGACTTTGGGCCTTCGGCCTAAAACACAACGTTCTTTTTCTTCGTGTGAGTGGCTGATTCTTTAATTTTCAGTTACTCATTTTTAATCCACACTAAATCATTGAGAGCAGAGAGAGGATTGAAAACTCGGGACACGGACTTCCTGTAAGTGATGTCAGGGTAAAATAAGGGCCCCTTTGTTCGATGACATCGTCCCAGAAATAACAGGAGCAAAAATGCCAGAGAATGTGTGTGCTGACCAGGGCCGCTTGTGTGCTCCTTTTATTTTTAATTGGACTGATGCAAAAAGAAAAAAAAATTCCCTTTGAGTCAGCCAGTTGATCCTGTTTCCGCGAACTGGATTTTGCAATAATATGAATAAAATTAGCTGGCACTTTCAGCCGCTGCTTTGAATCCAGAGCTTGGAATTGAATATAAATGTGTTACTGGCCATTTTTGGGCTACTTGGCTGTATCGGATGCTCCAGGAGGTCTGGTTTTGAGTGATTTTATTGCCTGCTGTGCAGTTATGGGCAAAACTACACAAGATATAATTTTTTTTAAGATGTTGTAATCATGTGTTGCAGGTCCATGCCAATAAACAAATCCCATGTATTTCAGCCAATATAATTCATTTGGGAACTCTTCACTCTGAGATTCTTTGCTATATGAAGCAGAGAAATTAGTCATGTGACTGGCGGTGATAGGAACCAAGATTCCCCTTATTATGATCTTTTTGCACAGGCCCGAGGATTTACAAGGCTATGTCATCACTGAGCCAACATCTCAGTTCAGGAAGTAGATGGTGACCCTGGATGATGGCTGGACAAAGAGGCACTGTCTATCTGGGAGAGAAAAGTAGTTGAAGGCATTGTCAGGGGGAGTACTCTAATATCTGTTAGAGGTAATAAATACCTGGAAATGTTACACATTACTTTGAAAGTAAATATCTAATGGCAACTACGCTTTAAAGGAATCTAATTGTTTGCCAATAAAGGTGTTTTAGATATTGCCTCTTCCTCTAGTCTAACATTTGAGGTCAGCACATCTGTCCAGACATCAGACAGAAGACGTGTATGACTATTCCCATATGACTATTTTTAAAGATCTGCATATAAGATTGGAGTTGCCCATTTTAGTCAGATCTGGACCATAAATGGGCAATTCTGTTGCAATTTGGGCCACCCCCAGCTGAGAAGGAGAAGCGTCGGAGGACCGGGCCTCTTCTGTACAAGGCCAGCT